TCTAATTTATTCATTTGATAATGAAAAAACATTTTTAAAAGAAGTATATTCATCCTCGAGAGAAAAATAATTATCATTGACGTTTCTTGTTTCAACTTACATGTAATTTCAAAGAGAAAAAAATAAGGAATGGCATAAACACTAATAAAGGCGCCCCTCCATAATATTTGGTTGTACCCCATTTGGCAGTGATGAATGTTTCAACTCTTTCTGGCAGATATCGATAAGTTTCTTTTACTTTTCAACTGGTAATTTCTCGCATGGGGAACTATCTCCCGGCTTCTTGCTTTCCAGTCAAATTTGATCTTCAAAAATTTAAAGACAATATTGGGGTGAAATTATTAAAAACAATTCTCTCATTATTCCTCTGCTATTTGTTCAAGCCCTGTTGCACAATGTCAGATTTCAACTGACCACATAGATCTTCATAGGGATTAAGATCAGGAATCTGTGTCAGTTTAAACTCTTCTGTGTCTTTCTTTTCAACCATTCCCCTGTGCTTTTGAATGTATACCTTGGTCTGTTATCTTTTGCTGGTGAACTTCTTCTTACGCTGGGTAGTATATTTTTGTTTTAAAATCGCTTGGTAATCCTCACCTTGTCAAGTTTTCTTGAGATGGTCATATATTGAAATTCTGATACAAGTTACCTGAGGTTTTGACGTGGGTTTTCTTCGGTTAGTTGAACGTCCTCTACAATCTTGATCGTCAAAACTCACATACCCACTATGAAATTTCAGAATCGAGTACCGTACTATCCGATCACGAGTGGATCCTTCAACCTTCCCATGCTCTGTTAATTTTGGCAGCAGTTTGAGGAATATTATGACCAAGTTTGAACTCATACAACATATGCCTTCTTTTTTCATGTTCAAGATGAAAGGCATATAATATTTTAAATTAAATTCCGAAAAAAGATTGATATAAATTTAACAAAGAAGACACTTTAATCAATATATTTTTGTACTACTAGTTTAATAAATGTTGTAGCATAGCTACGGATGATAATGTGTATGTCCCTATTCACAAAAATACAGTAGTAAATACTGTATGTTGGTCTACAGTTGGAGATTCATTGTGGAATTCACTTGACTCACTTCTAGCAGTTGACTACTTGTTTTACGCGCAGCTGGCGAATCTTATATGTGTTGTTCTTGGCTTAAGTATTATCGTTCATTACCATCCTTCGTTTGATTATTCTATTTAGTAACCTTCCCTAGGTTACAACAATGATATATCAGAACGCAAAAGGTTTATTCTAAAATCGGACACTATTTTCTGAACAATATAATATAATGAAATTATCAACTACCACGTTTTATAAGAGGCAGTTGAAAACTTTTCGCGAATATAACAAAGTATTAATATTACAGAAGTTTATAGTATAACTGCTTTATAATAAGAATTCTACTATAATTACAGTGAATACTAGACAATTTCCTTACAGATGAAGAGAGGCATTGAGGTAACTGAGATGTGGTTCTACAGAAGGATGCTGAGAATGCCATGGACAAGGAACGTGAGCAATTTTAAAGGAAAATGGAAGCAAAAATTATACTTATACTTAGAATCAGAAAGAGTTGAAATTTCTAGGACATGCAATGAGGAAAGAGTGCTTGGAAAATGTGACACTAACAGGATATGCTGAAGGCAAGTACCACAGAGGAAGGCAAGTACCACAGAGGAAAGTAGCATATAGCTTACCTAACAAGTTTCTGCAAATGATTGGCAAAACATGGATTAGGAGATATAACAACAAAAAAAAAAGAAGCTTTATCTACAAAGGATAGGAAGTTGTGGAGAGTCATGAAGGGAGACGGCATATAGAAAAAGAAGAAGGTAATGAACAGCCACTTCCAATCGTGTAAGAAATGAGCATCAAGGAATTTACATGGTAGGGGAGCTATGATGCCATCAAATTTTTTTCCCCTGGTACCGAACTTGACGTTTAACGATTACATGTGACACTTAGTTGGCACGAAGCCTAATTGTTACAAAGATTGCTAGTAAAAATGCCATATTATTTATTCAAGCCGTTCAAATATTTCCCAAGGCGCTTCTGACTTGTTTTCACATGTTTATCTAAAGTTTATCATTAACAGAAGAACAATAAAAGACAATGAGTTCTTTCTACCTTCTTAGGCATCGCTATTTTCATTGGTCAATCTAACAGTTTGGCAAATAATTTTTAAAGTAGTAATAGATTTTTTTTTATTTATTGATCCAGAAAATTTTTATCACTTTAAACGTTATTTTTAGTGGATATTCATATTCGAGAAGACGTTCCATTTATTTATTAAGAGTATATTTATTTATTTTCGTCAAGCGACCTGAATTTTTGCGAAATCTTATTAAAGGAAAAAATATGTGCTCTCCGGCAGGATTCGAACCTGCGACGCCCTGAACAGAGGAAAATCGTTGTTCGATGCGACGTGCCTTAACCGACTCGACTACGAAAAGTTTTGACGGTCAAAGAAAGTTCAAATGCCTCTAAGCGAAATCCTTCTCGTTGTCGAATACTCGAAATTATCACATCTTTTCATTTTCGTATCCAAATGTAAACAAAGTAATATTTTAAAGAAGTAATGGATTTTTTAAAAATTTATTAATCTGATACATTTTTATCACTTTAAACGTCTATTTTTAGTGGATACTCATATTCGAGTAGACGTTCCATTTATTTATTAACAGTATATTTATTTATTTTTGTCTAGCGACCTGAATATTTGTGAAATCTTATTAAAGAAAAATATGTGCTCTCCGGCAGGATTCGAACCTGCGTCCCCTTGAACAGAGGGAAATCGTTGTTAGATTCGACGTGCCTTAACCGACTCAGATACGAAAAACTTTGCCGGACAAACAAAGTCCGAATCAGTGCCTTTAAGCGAAATCCTTCTCGTCGTAGAATCCTCGAAATTATCATATCTTCTCATTTTCGTATCTAAAAGTAAAAAAAGTAATTTACTAAAGAAGTAATGGATTTTTTTAATTTATTAATCCGACAGATTTTTATCACTTTAAACGTTTATTTTTGGTGGATAATCATATTTGAATAGACTTTTCGTTTCTTTATTAACAGTATAGTTATTTATTTTCGTCTATCGGTCTAATTTTCGCGAAATCTGACTAAAGAAAATAATGTTCTCTGCAGCAGCGCATGTTTTTCCTTTCAAATATAAGCGCCCTCCAAAAATAACGTTTAAAGTTATAAACATTTGATAAATATAAAATAGGAACAGAATGTGCGAGTGGTGTAACGGTTACCGGTTGTAGAAAGTGGAATCAGCGAGGCCAGTTCAAGTTGCGGACGAGTCCGTTACATTCAAATTCGAGACGATTACCCCTGGGAGATGTATGAATCCATATCTTCTTGACCCCAGTAATGGGTCAAATAGTAGGATTGATTGATCGATTGTGTTTCGGCCCGTGTTTCTCAACCGGTGTTCTCCGCAACACTAAGGTTCCACAAGACGTCTCTAGGGGTTCCGCGAGAAACTTTGATAAATAGACGAAGGAATTTTCGAGTAATTTTTGTTTAATTTTATATTCGTAAAACATGTAAGGAGTGACTGAACTAATTTCAACTCGAAATTAATTTCAACTCGAAATTAATTTCAACTCGAAATTAATTTCAACTCGGAACTAATTTCAACTCAGAACTAATTTCAACTCGATTTAAAATCAAAGTTATCAATTTCCTAAACAAAATGCAATGTTTTGGTGCATTTTTTTAATTTTTTAATTTAGCATTAAAAATCCTCAGTAGATAATTCAGAAATTCATCTTTTCTGCAACTTTCATTCTTTTTTGTTGTAAAACCGAGTTGAAATTAGTTCCGAGTTGAAATTAGTTCCGAGTTGAAATTAATTCCGAGTTGAAATTAGTTCCGAGTTGAAATTAATTCCGAGTTAAAATTAGTTCCGGGTTGAAATTAGTTCCGAGTTTAAATTAATTCTGCACTTCACATAAGGTATATTGTTGGAAAATCCTTGGTTATTATAATAAAGGTTTGAATCTCAAATATTATTTAAAATAATAATAATAATAATAATAATAATAATAATAATAATAATAATAAAGAATGTAATTAGCGAAGTGAAGTTTCCGAAATTTTAAAATCCACAATAATGATTTACGTAGCGTAGAATCGAACTCAGTACTTACTGAAATCCATTGAACGAGACAAGCTTCCTTGCCAGAAAATACGTCTCCCTCGGGAGAGGTCTGGGTTTTTATCCCGATCCCTGAGGCGACCCCACAAGTGGAATTGCCGATTGGGTTTGAGAATTTTTCCGTGGTACTGCTGATAAACCCACTTTTAACCTCGACCATGTGCCACATCCGGCTGAGACGTAGATATCTGTAAACTTGGTTTGCTCGTTGCTTGTGGATATTTACTAACCGAAGAGTAAGTGCATTAATAAATATGGCACTTAACAGTAAAACAATGTCATGTTTTTTTTTTTGTTTTTTTTTTAATCATTTCACCCCCATTCAAGGTGGGAGTTCCACTAGTACCCAGGGGGTTACAGGGAGTGAAAGTGAAAGAGAAGACTGAAAATATGGAGGATTAAGAAAAGGACAAAAGATGAACGCGATTCAAGAAGATAGAAGATGGCGATTGACGTTGCATTTAAACTTTTGAAGATTATAGTTAACATGGAAGCAAGTAAACGGAAGTGATTTCCACAGCGGAGGAGTGCGAGAAAAGGAACTTTTGGAGTAGAAGTGGCGGTTGCATTTAGCTATTGGTGGGACCTAAATGCCAATCAGTATCTCGCTTAAATTCATGTAGTCCGAGCACCAGGGAAAAAAGATTCGTCAGAGCAGCTGCCAGGAAAATATTTGCAAAAAAGACAGAGGGAAGCCACATCATGTCAGTGAGAAAGGATCGATTACACTGCAGATCTTTCTCCTTCTGTTGATAGCTTCGCGTGTCATTTCAGAGCGAAGGTTAAAACTTTCAAATGGCTGATCAGTGCGCTTCATTGATCTTCCGTTTACGGCTATATTACGTTGAAACACCGGTTCTCGTACGATCAACAAAGTTAAGCAACGTCGAACCCGGTCTGTATTTAGATGGGTGACCACTTAGGAATACCAGGTACTGTAAGTCTGGATGTGCAATGGCAGTGTAATGGACAACGTCTCGGAATTGGAAATTGGAGAGCCGTGTTCCAGTTCCAGTTTGGTTCAATATATTCACTTACGAACAAATATCCTTGGAAAGGTATGAATCTTATCTTCACTCTCAGATACACCCAAACCCATGTATCTGACTGAATCTTGACTTTGCCGATGATGCAACAAACCAGGTAGGTCTCTATTGTAATGTAAGTAAAACAGAATATATCACAACCTCCCCTGAACCACCCGAGTTGTAGCCACTCAATAATACATCCATCAAAAGAGTTGAGGACTTCAAATATCTTGGATGTCACATAATAAATTCCCAAAAAGACTTCAACATCCTCAAAGCTCTTGCATGGGATGCTCTTCACAAGATTTGGCGCTCGCACCTTCCATCTTTTAGATTCCATACCTTTCGAACATTAAGTGAACCAGTCCTATTGTCTGGGTCAGAAACTTGACATTATTTGCTCGTCTTGAAAGACGACTGGATGGAACATATACAAACTATTTAGAAAAATCCAGAACATCATTTGGAGATCCTATGCAACGCTTAACACAATTTACAGTGAACTGAGGCCAATCTCTCTTGTGCTCAAACAAAAACGATCACAGTTTGCCGGCCACTGCCACCGAGCGAACACGGAAATAGTTTCATCCTTACTCCTATAGCATCCTTCTGGAAGTGTCTTCGCGCGAAAATTGACTTTTCCAGACACAATAGCTCGGGACTCAGGGGTGGATATTGGGGATCTGGGGACAGCAATACAGGACCGAACAGTGTGGAAATGGATTGTCAGTGGAGTTCCGACCAACCATAGGGAGGTCAAAGGATGATGATAATGATGATGATGATGATGATGGCGATATCTTGTTACTCATCAGGCCCGAAGAACTTTCCCATTAGTATAAGTAGCGAGAGTGTATCGGTCGTCGTCTTGATAGGCCTATCGCGGAGCTTACTGCAACTGGTATTCCCAAGTGGGCACTAATGCGAATACTGGCCAGTCACAATGTTGCTTAACTTCGGCGATTGGACGTGATATGGCCGTCAGCTTTCTGATTTCCAAGACGCATACTTTTTCAGTTGTATTTTGAGGAAATACTATTGCAGTTCATCAGAGTTCCATAGCTTTCCATTTCGAGATTGTGAACAGCCTTTTTGGATAATACTATTGAAATAAACGCAGTGAAATATATTTGTTTTTTCCTCAATTTAAGCTTTCGACTTATACGCCGAACGCATAATATCTTGTAACGTCCTACTTTACGAACGCTATAGGCTGCATGCACGTCGGGTTGTTTTAAGTGCGTGTTACATCGAGTGTTTTGCCTCTATTAAGAGTTTAGTTTTTAGTTTTGGCTTAGTATTTTATTTCTGTTTATATAATGAACAATACAGAGACTGAGAACGATAGCGAGAGGCGGGGAAAAAGACAGAGAGATTGAAAAAGATAGACAGAGAGATAAAGAGAGTGAGAGAGAAAGAGAAGTCTGAAATACGTAAAGAACGTATTAGTATAGATAGATAGATAGATAGATAGATAGATAATAAACAGACTGAGATAGAGTTAGATAATGAACAGACTGTTATATATATATATATATATATATATAGATAGATAGATAGATAGATAGATAGATAGACAAATTGTGATATATATATATACACACACGTAGATAATGAACAGACTGAGACTGTTATATATATATATATATATATATATATATATATATATATATATATATATATATATATATAGATAATGAAGAGATTTTATATATATATATATATATATATATATATATAGATAATGAAGAGATTTATATATATATGTATATATATATATATATATATATATATATATATATAATGTACAGACTGAGACTGAGATAGAGATAGATAGATAGATAGATAGATAGATAGATATGAATAAACTGGCATAATGTAATCGGTCTTGGCTTCAGTCACACTCTCACAGAAGGGATGTGATTTCACTTTGTCTTTTCTACAAATATTGTCATGGCAACTGTTCTGATAAATTCCCTTCTCTGATGCCACAATTTTATGAATTTAACCGCCTAACTAGACTGGCATCTTGTAAAGTTGAAATGTTAAATGCAACCGCCACTTCTACTCCAGCAGTTTCTTTTCTCACGCTTCCCGACAGTGGATCTCCCTTCCGCTTACGTGCTTCCCTGATAAGTATAATCTTCAAAAATTTAAATGCAACGTCAACTGCCATCCTCTGTTGCCTTGATTCCCGTACTTCATTTATCCTTTCCTCATTCCTCTTTTCCATCACTTTCACTCTCTGTAACTCACTGCGTGCTTGTGTATCTCCCGCCTTGCTTGAGGTGAAATGCTTGATTATATATATATATATATATATATTTGGATAGATAGATAGATAGATAGATAGATAGGAAGAAAATGTGATAGCTACAGAGATACAGAGAAACCGAAATGGACGTATATATATATATATATATATATATATATATATATATATATATATATATATATATATATATATATATATATATATGTATAGATAAAATGGAAAATATACATACATATGAAAATATATCTAAAAATTCCCATACATGTATATTTTCAGAAAAATTTTTTCAAGAGGAAGGATCCAGGTAGAACTCAGTGTCTAGGACAGAGTAAGGATATAATAAAAAGGCTTAAACACTAATATTCCATGGTCATAATTTATTCCATTGGAATCGTAAATGATCCAAATCATCAGACCTACAAATTCAAAATGAAAACAGAAAAAACAACTCCGGAAATCAAAAACGAATTTAGAGAAAGAGTAAGTATGAGGAGGGGGCTGTTAAGGTTTCATGTCCCCCCTCCTCATACTTACTCTTTCTCTAAATTCGTTTTTGATTTCCGGAGTTGTTTTTTCTGTTTTCATTTTGAATTTGTAGGTCTGATGATTTGGATCGTATTTACGATTCCAATGGAATAAATTATGACCATGGAATATTAGTGTTTAAGTTTTTATTATATATATATATATATATATATATATATATATATATATATATATAGAGAGAGAGAGAGAGAGAGAGAGATGAAGAGACTGTGACAGATAGAGAGAGGGGAGATAGATATATAAATAGATAGATAGATAGGAGAGAGAAACAAAAAGATGTAGATACTGTGATAGAGAGACAGAAGATAAGAAAGTGATAGATAAACTGAGATAGAATGAGAGACATATGAAAGACTGTCGTAAAGAGGGAGTGTAAAATAGGGATTTGTTGAGATTTGAGCTTGAATGAGAGAGAGAGAGAGAGAGAGTAAGAGAGAGAGAGATAAAGGGACTAAGATAGAGAGAGATATAGCTAGAAATGATAGATAGATAGATAGATAGATAGATAGAGAGAGAGAGAGAGAGAGAGAGAGAGACTGATATGAAGAGGCTGAAATGAAGAGAAAAAGCGCGTGGGCGCAATAGATATAGATAGACAGAGACTAGGATTGTTTCTTGTAACAGTCGATGTGAAGAGAATTACATAGAGATTGAGAAAAGGTATATCTAGCTCGCTAGATAGATAATGAATAGACTGAGATAGATAGATAGATAGATAGATAGATAGATAGATAGATAGATAGATGGGGCCTATCTTTTTATCACTATACTCATTTTGATTTGGCACAGGACGCAAATGTGAGACACTCAGTGTGGATCAACCTTAGGAGAAATATATAAAGTGATACCTTACTTATATTACTGGGACCTAGTGTTTTACTGTGAAGTGTTACAACACTGAACTTAGAGAACAAGGGTCCAGCATACTATGTATCGCGCTAATCAATTTTATTAGCATTCCATTAGGGATTTTGCCAAAAGGATAATCCAGATAAATCTAATCCCTTTAAAGAGCATTTCTGTTGGCTTCATTTTGAATAAGGGCAAAGAGAAGGGTTTTAATTACCATTGATAATCATGTCACCTAATTATAGGGTATCTAGTTTGGCTTAAGACAAAACCCTTAAGAATGATAACGGTCGTGATATTGGTGCTGTAATTCCTGTTGATGTCGGTTGGATAGTACCTGACTGTTAATGGCTCAGTGACACCACAAAAGATTAAAGATTTAAGAATTAAGCTGATGAAGCCGATAACACACATACACACACACACATAAATACAAATTACTTAGAAGCGAGTGGGGGTGTATTTTAACGATGGCGATGTTCAAATGCCCAAAGATATTTTCACGACGAAGTCAGCTTTTACTGTTTGCGCTACAAACATCAATAATCCCATGAGAAACGAACTAAGTAACACTGACTTGTGAATACTGGACACTAAGCCTCACTATACAACAGAAATTTACTTAGTCTGACACAAGGTCATTCGTATTAACTTTTACTCTACTGTACATGAAGCCTTTTCAGTAATTAAGCTTTACTAGTTTTCCTTTCATGTTCCACAAGGCTTTTTCTCTCGATTCTATACTCTTTCTGCCTTATGTTAACGATCTACCTGAGGTCATTCGCAGATCACTAATAGATATACAGGCAGATTGAAAAGTAACTGCCTATTTTTTGTATGAGTGACCAGTCAGGAATCTTTACTTAACACCCTGTGTCGTTTATCTTTGGAATTGGTTAAAGAAGCAAGTCTTTTATACCAAAACCAAGACTTTGTAAGAACTTGAGTTGTGAATACATTTTTCGTTCTTCTAATAATACATCACATGAGCCTCAGTAGTTACTGACCTCAATAGAATTAAAACATTCCGCTTTTGTACGTTAATTTTCACCTAACTGCGGCTAACTCGTTTTCGAAATATAAAACAATATTAAAGTAGACAGTAAGAACATACTTAGCTTATTGGCTTCGTATCGATTGGATGTGATTCTGTTCCTCCTCGTCTCTTTGGGCTCTGGGCTGTTCCGTTTCAATAAATGTGCTCACAACATACACGTACACAAGGTTAGTTGCATTATGCAACCTTGTTGGTGATTGATTATTTTCCAATCTACAATCACTTTCCACACAGACAAAACATTGCTAGCCTCTGGCTACTCTACTGCTATGTTCAGTTAAGTTACATTTCTTAATTCCACCAGTTCAGACTTTTTCAGCTAGGACCAAACATACAGCGCACACAAGAGTCAAATCATCCTCATTCCCTTTGTATTCCATTAGTCAGGAGGAAGTCCCACTCAGATAGATTCATCCCCAGAATTGTTTTACCTCAACTATCTATCCTCATGCATTTATTTCCTTTTTTATGTGTATAAAACACTACGTTCAACTCTACCTTGAGTGGTTCTTGGGCTTTGTATTAAGTTAACAATAGTATAAAAATAGTGTTCCCTTTACTTTCTTCTGTCAGTCTTAACTTAGTCTTCCAATAATCAGAAGCCACGACAAGAACACAATCTTCTTTGGTTTTTCCTTTAACGTGTGACATAATTAACGGGCTTAAGCAAGTGGATGACAGAACAAGGTCTGGGAGAAGTATCAAATGGACAAAACATAAGGAAAATTACAATGGATAGGGAGAAGTGGAGAGCCATGATCACCTACGTCCTGAAGGGACACGGCACATAAAAGAAGAATTTTTTCATCACCTCGTCAATCCATCCATCTCCATCGACATGTTTTTCACTGTCATATCTTTTTTCTGATTGTCTTTTACTTTTACATTTTTTGCTGTTTTAACAATTAAACTTCTTATTGATGTCTTTTTTTCTTCACTTGCTCCTTTATACTCATCCCCTATCTCTGTTTGTTTTCTTCTTCTTCTTCTTCTTCTTCTCTCTGACTGGTCTCTCCATTAACCATCTCTCTGCCACGTTTAATCACCAGCTGTCATTCTTAATTAGATTTTCTTTGTTTAAAGAACGTGTTAGGAAGTTCGCGTTCGGAGATGAAACGAGGGCTTGACACCAAAAAATCCAGCACTTAAACACACCAAAAAACAATAAGCAAATACTTCGAAACTTAAAACAGTGTCTGCTCTTGCTATTAACGCATCGCTCTTCAGTTATAAATTGAGCGCTATTAGATACTGGCGTTTGTATACATCACGTATATAATACTTTAAAAATTTACCTTTCTCTCCCGTGCGCCGATAGCTTAGGAGTAGAATCTCTGACTAAGGCCGAATCGGTCGAGTTTCGATCCCAGCTTGAAGCAATCCATACTGTTGAAAAAGGCTTGTATTTAGATGACTATATATATATATAAGTTGTGTGTATTTAGGCAACATTTTTTCATTAATACATTCTCCATTAAATAATATAGACAAATCCTTTCATAACGTCTGATAAGCTTAATAACATTATCATTGAAAGACGAAAGAAAATCACCATGTTGTTACATGTTTTATTCTTAATCCTTTCTAAGCTATCGGCTTACATAAGCCATCATCGGAGATTAAAGATGGCAATTTTGCAACTATGATAGTTTGGTTGTTTGCATGGAAGATTGCTATGCAACAATAAATTCGTGCATATGAAACGCAGGAAGTAAATATCGTTTCATATGCACGAATTTATCATTGTTGCAAAATTACCAAAATGAGAGCTTACTGACTTCTCTATACTGGCTAATTCATCAATGGTATAGTTGCGGTGGATATGTGTCATATTAAAGTTATATATGTTCGAGCAAAACACGGATTTTGATTCATATCGACAAAGAATTTCCCTGATTCTTTCCTGCAACAAAGTTAAAATGGTGTTCGAATCCCGTTTCCACTTTCAACAGTCGACGAAATTTAGCTGCACAAGAATCAATCCAATTTAAATATAGCCGCCTGGTGTCAGAGAAAGAGAAAAACGATAAAAGCTTTCAGCGTACTTCAGGTGGCACATTGGTGATTATACTCTTCAGAAAATCAATAGCGTCTGCATATAAATACCGATATTTATTCATGACCGACCAGAGTTCAAGGAGCTTTTGGGCGGACCCATCGATGGTGTTTGTTTAAATTGCATTGGCTGTCTCCCATGGGAGAGGAAATTGACTATTCAATTATTGCCATACAGTATTTCATTCGATTGTTCTATGAGGCTGACCAGCTACTGAGTTGGATGGTAGGGGTTTTTACGTTTTAGAGGTAAGAGTGAGGAAGGATGATGTACCTGAAGAGGAGGATAGATAGATAGATAGATAGATAGATAGATATAGATAGATAGATGGTGGATGACATAGATAGATAGATAGATAGATAGATAGATAGATAGATAGATAGATATGGATATACTGAAATAGATAGATAAATTGATAGATGGTGAACAGAACAAGATAGATAGATAGATAGATAGATAGATAGATAGATAGTGAACAGAACAAGCTAGCTAGCTAGATAGATAGATATGGATATACAGTGATAGATAGATAGATGAATTGATAGATGGGGGAACAGAACAATATATATATATATATATATATATATATATATATATATATATATATATATATATATTGTAAATTAATTGTTTTAAAATATGGTTTTTCCGCTACACAGTTCTAACCATGTTTCAAAAATGGAAGGTCCAAATTTAATTTTATAATTAAATTAAAGACATTCGTTCCATTTCATACTCAAGCGAATTTTGGAGTAACTTATAAAATTACTGGGTTTTAAAGTCATCAAAAATCATAATTTACGTTTCCAAGGAAACAGAGAAATTCATTTCAACCAGACAAGGGGTGTCTGCGTGTTCATTATCGCTGTATTTTGATGTATCAGTTTTGGTAAGGGGTAGGGATGTATTCTTCAATGAAATCTGACATCCGTTAAATGCATGTCGTCTGGATTTTTTCACTTTTAATTTTTAATATACTATATTTCTTTTAAGAGTAAGTAAATGTATTGGAATCCCTTACAGTATGTAGAGTTATTTTCACATCAACTATAAGTATGTATATTATTAGGTAAACATTTTTTTTTTTAATTATATAAGTGAACTTTATGACAATGACGCCAAAAAAAGCTAATTGATTTTACTGGTTTAGTAAACTTTTATTTTTTATATAAACCTAGTAATATCTTGTTTCTCATGTAAGTACAAAGGACATGGGTCATTCAATGGCTTACACCTTCTAGCTTTTCATATTAAATTCATTTTACTGTAGGTGTTTTATTGGATTCTTTTAAGTGCATGTAGTACTTATAGGGAGATCTATATGCTAGAACACGATTTATTTAATTACAATTCTAAAAGATGTTAAGGTTAGAATTTCTTTTTATTTAACTACAATTTTAAATACAACTTTAAAGTATTTTCACTGTTAGTTTTAATAGACTATATTTCTTTTTAAAAAAGTGAATGTATTAGAATTACTTACAGTAAGTATAATTATTTTTACATATCAAGTATAAGTATGTATATTACGATTGTTAAAATTTTTTATATTTAAATATTATTTAAGTAAAATTTATGACAATTACGGTAAAAATAGCTAATTCATTTCTCTGATTTAGTGAACTTTATTTTTTATTTATTTATTTTTTTATACTTAGTAATATATAGTTTCACATGTCTGTGCAAAGGACATGGGACATTCAAAGGCCTACATCTTATAGCTTCGCATCATAATTTCATTTTTCTGTAGGTGTTTTATTCGATTCCTTTATGTGCCGGTAGTACTTTGAGAGAGGGGTTTTGGTTAGAATACGTTTTATTTAAGTAGAATTTTAAAAGATGTTTAGGTTAGAATTCGTTTTAACTAAAATTTTAAATACAACTTTAAAGTATTTTCACTGTTATTTTAATAGACTTTTTTTGTAGATGTAATAGAATTACTTACAGTATATAAAATTATTTTTTCCATTAAATATACGTACGTATTCAAGGCTATGGGACCCAGTCTGTCTTGCTATTTACCCATCGCTGGGGTGGGGAGAGAAGAAGAGGATTCATACCTTTCCCAAGGGTATTTAGCACGTAAGTGAATGTAGCGGATTTAACCGGAATTCGAACTCGGCTCTCCGATTCCGCAATCCGAGCTGCTATACACTACTACATCGTGATATATCAATATATAATAGTAACATCACCTTATACCCAAAAAAAAAAAAAAAAAAAAAAAATGTAAACAGAAAAAAGGTTAAAGGTTACAGTAACGAAATTGCTTACGAGATCAATTTTTCGTCTTGTTTTCTGAATTAAAAAAAAAAAAATACAGTGTAACCCGGATATAAGAGACCCGGATATAAGAGAAACCCGGATATAAGAGAGATTTTCTCTGGTCCCAAATTAGAGCCCATACTTACCTAAACAAAATAGGCCAAACCCGGATATAAGAGAAACCCGGATATAAGAGACTTCGTCTCCGGTCCCGACAACTCTCTTATATCCTGGTTACACTTTAATTTAATTTTTTAAGTTTGTTTTTTATTCTCCAACAATCTTTTCTGGTAAGAACGAAAGCTAGACATCCAGCTGAATTTAAAAAAAAAATTATCAAAGTGAGAATGAACATTCTCCTAGGGACAACGTCCATCGAGCACAAGACGAGTCACCATAGCTACGGATGCAGCCAGGATGCTGATGAGACTGCATTAATGAGTGAAGGCTTCAAGACTGACTTCAACGGCCAGGGCGGAGAGTTCCCTGATGAAATTAATGGTCACGTATCCGAGACCAAGGTGAGACTTCAAGTTGCAGGATATTGGTTGTGGTTTGACCTGGACAGGGATGGGCTCCATCATGTCTACTTACCCAAGACACGCTGCGGCTAAATGAATACAAGACATGCAGAGGGAACTGCTCAGCTGCACCGTGACCCTGAGACCACACACAGTTATAGGGATGATGATGATGATGATTGTTCTTAGGGGATTTTCGTTTTCTCTTATAGCATAGAATTTATACGCCGTGACCAACAGTCTGATACTCTACCACAATGACGACTGAGCAGGTTAAGCCGTTTATAAATAATTTTAAGTTTCCCCGTTAATTATAGATTTCCCAATTATGTTATATTTGCATTTTATTAATATTCGATGTCGATCAGAGACATGTTTATTTGTCTAGAAGGGTGGATTAATAAGATTAAAATTTAATCCTAATTCGATAAGGAGATTATCCTTTAAAAAATCAGACATTGCTTATCCCTCTTATTTTCTATAATTAAATTTTAATTGAATTAATTATTAAATAAGAAAATTCTACTTCATTATTTTCTAATAACCGCTGGCACATATTAAAATTACATATACAGGGTGACCCCCCAAAAACGGGAATTTTTAACAATCCAATAAAACCAAGAGTGATGGAAGAAAAATATTTTATTCATAGTAATTGAAACCTTAAAACATGCCATTTAAGAAACAATGATAGAATTTTCATTTTTTTTTTAAATTACGTCCTGTAGATGGCGTCCTCCTGTACGAATGCATTCTTGAAATCTGCTGTTGAGATTCCTCATTGACTACTGCAACATCTCAGCTTGGATACTGTGAATTTCATCTTGAATTCTAAATGGCGAAATGTTTACTTGCTCAAGGTCGCTGTCTCGTAGTGTTGCCACTTGCTCATGTCTGGCAATACGCACTTCAAAAATTCCCGTTTTTTGGGGTTACCCTATATAAAAATTCCCGTTTTTTGGGGTTACCCTATATAAAAATTCCCGTTTTTTTGGGTTACCCTATATAAAAATTCCCGTTTTTTTGGGTTACCCTATATAAAAATTGACAGTAGCTCAACTTCTGCTGGTATGCAAATCAAACAGACAGATAAGTCCAGTAATATACAAAAATAATCTTATATTTTTTAGATCATATTGGCTGTACGAAAATTATTCAACGCTCTCCTGATTCAAATAAAACATTTCAGGTTTTTCTTCAGCCAAAGTAGCGTCATTTTATAATATGGGATAATTAAAAACAATAACGATGAAAATAAAGTGTTAGTTAATGGATTCGTTATTTTACGGCTTATCAACCCTTTGCAGGTCATGTAAACCCAGAAAATATTTTTTTCGGATTTTTAGAATTTTTTTTTTTTTGTTTGTTTTTGGAGTGTCAGGAAAAGATGGGTTCATACTTTTACCAAGTGTGTTTGCGCATAAACGAACATAAGCAACCCAACTGGAATTGGAACTCGGCTCTCCGATTAACAATTCAGAGCTATTAGCATTACACCACCCACCGAGGTGGTAGCACCTGTTAGGGTCCCAGATATGGGCAAATAATGAACCCCAAAACAAAAGCAAAAAACTATGAAAGTATAGAAAAAATAACAGAAATATATTTTTCTATAAAAAATTACTTAGTATACCTATTTATAGTAAAATGACCAATAGATTTCATCTGTAGTTGATACCATAAACTGTGTTCAAAATATTTAGATTTCGGCATTAAATAACCCATAGAAGTGTTGATATGCCACTAAACAAAACCAACCAACACCATATGCCCGTCCTGGGTAAGACAATAAACTACATCCGCGTCCTGGGTAAGATGATAAACTATGTCCAACAGCAAGGCCTCTGATCAGGTTTTGAGGAGCGTGGAACCACCTCTTTATTGCTGATGACCCCAGGTTCACCCTGACCCAGGGTGGTAACACCTGTTAGGGTCCCAGCTATGGGCAAATAGTTCACTCAAAATTTGGGATCAAAACACTATGGATGTGTAAAAAGAGGTTTTAATACCAGCAATACATTTTTTAAAAGGTTATTAGCAGCAATGGATTTTTGAAGAAAAAATATTACCGGCAATAGATTTAAGAAAAAAAAAATATTACCAGTTATACATTTTTGGAAAAAATATTAGCCACAATAAATTAAAAAATATTACCAGGAATAAAAATCTTGTCGGCATTGAATAACCCATTGAGGTGTTGATATACCGTAAACCAAACCAAACTAACACCACCTGCACAACCAAGTTTACGGCACCTGGTATTCTCAAGAGATAAAAAGTTTTATAAAGAAGATTTTAAAGGCTTATCGTCTTAGTATTATTAACATATCCAAAAAAAACTGGAAGCAATGTTTGTTGCCTTTCTCTCACCGTAAAAAAAATCCACTGTTTTTAGAAAAACGGGAAGAAAAAGAAAGAATAACTGAATGAATGGAAGTTAGAAAAAAAAGAAAGAAAGAAAAAAAGCCAAATTTTAAATCACGCTTATTTTGGATTTAGAGTTTTTCCTTCTTTTGATTGGCTGCCGCATACAAAAAGAATTCCTAGCTCCAGTGAGAAGAAATCATTTCATACATTTCCCTGTGGTACAAAGGAAGGTCCAGTCAGATAGCTCCTTCTCCAGAACTGTCACTTTGTGGGTTAGACAACTTCAACAAATCTTCATGTCTAGTATCAAGCGTTATATTCTCATAATATACACGTCTTCCTTCTCAGTTTACGTCCGTACAAATCTCTTACTCTGTAACCCTCTACCTTGAGTGAATCTTGGGCTTTGCGTTGGGGGAAAAATGCAATAATCATATAACCGTTACACTACCCTCAAAATGAAAGGAATACGCAGGAAAGAAGGAAATAAAGAAAGGCAGCGGAGCTACAAGAAAGAGACAAAAACAAAGAAAAAAAGAAAAGAAAGAAAAAGAGAAACGTGACAGAAAAAAAGAGAAATAACAAGGAAAGAAAGAAAAGAAAAAGAAACAGAAACGTGAAAGAAAAGAAGGAAAAAAAACAAGAAAAGGAAAGAAAGAAAAAGAGAAAAGTGAAAGAAAGGAAGAAAAAAATGAAGAAAAAAGAAAAAGAGAAAAGTGAAAGAAAGGAAGAAAAAATAAAGAAAAAAGAAGAGAAAGAAAAAGAAAAACGCGAAAGAAAGGAAGAAAGAATAAAGAAAAAAGAAAAGAAAGAAAAAAGAGAAAAGTGAAAGAAAGGAAGAAAGGAAGAAAGAAAAAAGAAAAGAAAGAAAAAAGAGAAAAGTGAAAGAAAGGAAGAAAAAAGAAAGAATAATATTGTATAAGACGCGTTTTATTCTTGGGTAGCAAATGTTATTTCCTATTTGCTTTCACCTAGAAGGTATAAAAAATGGCTAATATTTCCTTCAAACATTGCTTTCGTGACCAGGATAGAATTTCTGAAATTTACGTTTTCCCATTGGGAAATCTAGCGAGTGTGAACATTCTCGTTCACGCGAAGTAGGAAACAAAACGATATATGATTCAAAAGTAGCATTTATTTATTCTAGAATTACGCAAGAACATTCTCGTTCACGCGAAGTAGGAAACAAAACGATATATGATTCAAAAGTAGCATTTATTTATTCTAGAATTACGCAAGAACATTCTCGTTCACGCGAAGTAGGAAACAAAACGATATATGATTCAAAAGTAGCATTTATTTATTCTAGGATTACACAAGAACATTCTCGTTCATTCAAAGTAGAAAACAAAACGATATATGATTCAAAAGTAGCATTTATTTATTCTAGGATTACACAAGAACATTCTCGTTCACTCAAAGTAGGAAACAAAACGATATATGATTCAAAAGTAGCATTTATTTATTCTAGGATTCCACAAGAGCAACCACAAAAAATTAGAAGTACGTAGATTATTGCGATTTACGTATATACTGTAAATTGCTTTCACGAATCCCCCCTAAATATAGTCAACCATCATGTTTTTGTCATACGATCCTTGGTAGCTAGAATGCTCTATAAATTCTTGAAACTTTTACAAGCTTCTCGAAAATTCTTGAAACTTCTAGAAAGTTCTAGAAAATTCTCCTTCAGTAACTCAGCGTTGAATCTGTCAGGTTTGTAATGGAAAATAGGTTAATTTCAAAATATCGCTGTTCAAGCCATAAAAACAAAGTTCGAAGGAAAATATCAGTAATTATCATTGCTTTCTAGAGAGAAGCAATTAAGACATAACATTTGCTGACCAAAGACAAAAATAAGTCAAAAAAAAAAAAAAAAAGTGAAGAGAAAGAATTTCGGAATATAGAAAGTAATTAAGAAAAAGAGAAAAAGGAAAATGCGGTGAAAGAAAGAAGAAAGTGGAAGAAAAAGAAATGTAGAAAGAGAGAGAAAAGAAAATTTAACGACAAAAGAAAGAGTCAATAAAAGAAACAAAATAAAGAAAGAAAAGAAAAAAGCCTATAAAGAAAAAGAAAGAAAAAGAAAGAAAAAGCGAAAGAGGGAATCACGGAAAAAAGGCATAAATTTAAAACGTGAAAGAGAGGATGAATGAATAGTGAAAGAAAGAAAGAAAGAAAGAAAGAAAGAAAGGGAGAAAGAAAGAAAAAAGAAAGAAAGAAAATCTTTAAAAACTGGACGCAGTGCACATAGGATTATAATCCGCATAAAACGAACTTATTCCAAATTTGATCGGCATTATACGCCAAACGATAGAGACGATCAAATTGATCCAGTCACACATTTTAGTTTTCATCGCTGATCAAGTTATTCAGCTGTTATAATTTCGATCTTATTTGAAACTGATCCGCTTTTGTGCACCTGACTGCATTCCAGATACTAGAAGGGATGATGGAAAGCCGTTAAGATAAGACTTGGGCTTGTGAAAAGGAAGGAAAGGGAGAGTCGATTAAAATCTTTTAAATAAAGAAAACGAAAAAAAATATATTAAAATGAACATATACACGTAAAGAAGATGAAAAAAAGAAAAAGCAAAGTTAGAGCTCGTTAATCATCGCTGAATGACAAGCGCTTAAATTTGTTCAACTAAACCAGCTCGAATACAAAGCTATAGTTACTGAAAAATTATTCAGAAAGGCACAAACGAACAATGGCTTGAATCGATGTGATCTAGCAGGTTTCAATAAATATGGCCATTCTTCTCGCAACATGTCTTATTACGGGAAGGATTTAGTAAAGATTTATTCACTTTAATGATTAACTATTTGTTCATCAATCAACTTTTGCGGGTATGGAAGAACAAGAGACAATAATCTGGGTAAATTTTAGGACTAAATACATTAAAACCAACTACACTCTTCCCTTCCTAAATATATTACATAGAAATAATAACGAACTCAATTTTGACGCTTACAGAAATGCTGCAAACAAAAATGATCCGATCACTTTCTACTCAAACCACTCTTCTAAAATTAAGTCTGGAATTATTATAGGTTTCTATCTGAGAGCATTCAGAATCTGCAGTCCCCAATATTTACCTAAAGAAGCATACATAGGAAACACATTGAAAAACCTGCAATACCCATATCATTTCACCCACAACGCAAGAAGAAAGGCATACAAAATATACAACTGAAACAAAACTAATAACATAATCCACAATAATCAATTACATGAAAACAGATACATAATACTACCGACCAACTCTGTCACGTCCACTATCCAGAACAACCTATCCCATCTAAATAATCTTGAAATAGTCACAAACACTTCCAAAACCATTATGGATATACTCAGATCCTCAAACGCTAATAGTAATAATATTTCTAAAGCAGGAATTTCTAAAATAAATTGCCATAATTGTTCCTCCCAATATATTGGAGAAACAAGTAGAAATTTAAAAAAAAAACGCATCTATGAACACAAAAGAGACTTCACAAAAAACAACTTAACTAATGCAATATTCATATATAGAAATAAATTTAACCACAATTTTTAATTTAAAAATGCTACACTCATAAAAAAAATAACTCAGAAGGAAAATCCTAGAGAGTGCTGCCATTGAATATTATCCAAATATTAATCTACGCCCAGGTTTTTTCTTTATATTACCTTTCCTAACAAAATTACTACTCTCCCAAGCAAAGGTACACAACTGAAATCAAAAGAAGATGGTTGAATCCGTCAACACAATAAAAACAATATTTCCACACGTAACAGTACGTAATTTTCATTTGACAATACGAATACAATAGCGTTTTCTACATTCTTCTAGTTGCTGAGGACATTTTGTTTTGTTGTTAACAGTTACTTTGTTTTAATAAATTCACTTTGTTTTTGCCTTGAAAAAGTCCATATTAATATAAGTCCTAATATTGAAGTTTTTCTATTGTCTTTCACCTTTATAAAAAAATGAATGCATTGTAAACGCAGTAGTCTTATGAAAGGTTCTAGTTTTTCATATCATTATTTGTGTAAATAATGATAACCCCTCATCCCAGAAATATTTATACTCGGACTATTATCCTCATCTTTGTTATTGTTACTGTTGTGGATTCCGAGATGAAATTCAGTCTCCAATGAATGACAAACGCAAGAATTAAATATAAGAAATAAAATGTATTTACACAATAATACAAAGGGCAATACTGTTAGTAAATCCAGGAACGCGGTTAGTAGCAATAACATATAGATATATACAGTCTCCAAGTAGGACTTCCTTAGAGTCTACGTGCTTGTAACTGTGACTTCTACAAGCGGTTACCTCACACTATTACTCTACCTCCAACTCAATCACAATCTCAGTCTTCTTACTCTCAATCTCTCTACTCAGATTGACTCTGGTTATTTAACGGCAGCAGTCCAAGTAACACTTTGGTCGAGTCCACTTATATGAAAAAGGGGAGGACTCCATAACAGTTATCACACCGTTTTGGCCGTTGTGCTTGAGGAAGGTCGGAGAGCACAACGGCTTACTTGTGTTTATAGTTTCGTACAAGATATATTGATATCTTTATAGTATCAGTTTGAATCAGCGTGGGACCACATCTTAATTGCTCCTGTCCTAGGCCCACCCCGATCCGGGATGGTAGCACCTGCTAGGTCTCTTTTAAAATTATATAGAAATTGTTCAAATAAATTCTCCTTCCTGGGGTTTTCGCCTAATTGATTAGCCATTTTAAAAGATTTTAGTTGTGGTGTTGTAAATAGTATTTAGTTTGTTGAGATGCAGAAGTCGTTTTAATTATTGAACACGGTCAGTATATTATGGCCGTGTTCGTAGTTGAGATTTATTTTATTATGACGACCTTTATTATTTTTAGACACTTTTTAGTGGTGTTTATTATATTTCTTCTTACGATAAGTATTTTTAATTATTTATATATCTATCATGTTTCTGTCATTATAGTATCAGCTTGAATTGAGGTTTTAATCAGCGTGGAACCACATTTTAATTGCTGCTGTCCCCAGGTCCACCTCGATCCAAGGTGGTAGCGCCTGCTAGGGTTCCAGCTATGGGAAAATAGAGACCCACCAAACAAAAGCAACACTATAAAAGTATAAAAAGTCATTTTTTATTGTAAAAATATCAATAATACATATTTATAGTAAAATTACCAACAATGCATTATGCACAAAACCGGAGCATCATCTACCATGTATTCAACTGTTAAAGTAGAATAACATATAGATATACCTTACTTTACGTCGTTAATTGGTTTTAGAGGTCACGACTTATGTTGAAATAACCACACTATAAATCACAAATAAGCACTTCCCATTGCATATTACAGTATTTATGATATATACGTACAGTATTCTGAATAAAATAATTAATTTCCAACTTATCTTCTGGCAATTTTAGCGTTTTGACCTTTCTAATATTTTTAACGGCCGGGGTATACTCGGGTAAAATGACCTAAGTTATATTTTTTATATAATATTTAAGAAAAACCGAAAAGGACTTAACTCGAAACGACTTAAGTCGATGTATCACTTTATATATTTTTATTTCTTCAAACTCCCAAGAAAATTATATTTCGGCAAAAAATAACTGTAATGGCTCGGTTCCTTGTACCCCGGGTGATAGTCCACGGGTAGAACCAATAAAGAAGTACTCGAACACAGGCATGGAATAACACAGATATATTACAAACAGGAATATATACAGAGAAGTCGTCTCGATCAGTATCACTATTCCAATGTCTTGTAGTAATTGTCTGAACGCGACTCTGTTTCGGACTGCCTTTGACACGACTCTTGACTCGACTGGAACTACTGACTCGACTCGAACTACTGACTCACGATATTGAGTCCCCCCCCCCACTGGGGCAACATGTGACACAAGGTCGGTTGTTTATTGTGGGTATTCCCGAGCCCGTGGGCTCGGCCCCAAAATATGCCCGTTTGAACCCGTATAAACGGGTTCAGGGCCGGTTTTACCTCCCCGAAAGAGACTCCGCCCTTCGGCGTAGCCCCCTTCGGGTTCCTCTCCGTCCGTAGACAGAGAGTTGAACCGATCAGTCGGTCAGAAAGTGAACTACTGACTCACTTCATGCCTACTCCTGAGGCGCAGTATTTATTAAGTATGGAATAGTCCGTTATTAATATTATGGGTAAGATCCCATAACAATAACCCATAATTAATTCTTATGTCGTTAAATAAATAAAAAGAAAGAAAAGAAAAGGAAAATACGACTGAAACTTTCCCCCAAAACTTTGGAAAAAAAATACGTCTTATACAGCAGTGCGTCTTATATTCCGAAAAATACAATAAATAAACAGCCTATTTAATATGCATGACATCTAACCCGGATGTCCCCAACCAGATGCAATCGGCCCAAAAGAGCAGAAGCCTACCGGTTTCCATACGTAGATAGGCTGCTTGTTATTTTAATCATCCTCCAAGGTCTTCACCTATCAGCTAAGCCTTATTGAATTTTTTTTTTCCACTCTGAAGAGCTCGACAGATGCAGGGACAAGTATCTCCGATCTCTCTTGCGAATAATGGGGAATAGAAGTCGGTTTCTTTCTTCTGAAAAAGTCGATGTCAGACAGTATTGTATCAGTCACGCATCTGTGGGTATCACCTGTCCTTCATGTAAAGTAGGAGGGGGGAAAACCCGCAAGGACATCATTGACAATAAACGAAAGCTATATTCAAAAGTCTCTTTGTTGACACGAGCTTACACACAGACACGCACACACACACAGATGTAGGCACATAAAAAGCACACACATACACGCACAAATACACACACACGCACACTACCATAGTTGTGTATTTGGACAGCAATCAATATCTAGTACATGTTTCATTAAAAATAACTGACAAGATACGTCTGTTAATTTTTTTTTACTGTATTTTCCTTGTGTGCAAAAAACTAGATTTCTGTTTGGGACTTAGTATATACCAACTTAATAGCAAAATTGTTAAAATCGTGCAATTGTCCACTTGTTAGATTAAGCCTTAAACCGTTGTATCTTAGAAATGATTAAAGATATCTTACTGGAATTCTTTGAGGTCTTTATAACACTATTGGACTCTACTTCGAACAAAAAGAATGCATTTAGCTCTAAGCTGAAATGATGATCCCTATTCTTGTTATGACCTCCAAGTCCAGTTTTCCTCTCTACTCTGTCCACTTTTTAAAACTTATTCACCGTTCTTTTGGTGATTATTGAATTGACATTGAAGATGGAAACCAGAGTATGGATGTTGGTACGATTACTGAAGGCCTGAATGATCTTTTTCCTCTCACCATTTCTCATTTGGGAAGACATCGTGTGGCTGACGCAAAACGATTTTTATCGGTATTCCTTTCTAGCTGAATAACTCAAAGGGTTTTTCAGTGAATCTTACGTAAATGGTGTCATAATGGCTAAAACGTCGTATCTGAAAACCTGGAAAAAGAAACTCGGTTGGTTTAGTGGTATTTTAGATATTAAGCATTTTGGAGAATGGACAATTATCCCACGCTGTTTCACGATTTGAACAATTATGCTGTAACAACTGGGATAGAAATTGTCTAAATAATTGTTACTTCCTAGGGCCTTCGGGTAATCAGTTAGCCATTTTCAATGATTTTAGTTTTGGTGTTGTAAATAGTGTGTAGTTTGCTGAGTTGTAGAAGTAGTTTTAATTAGCGAACACGGCCAGTATATTATGTGCGTGTTCGTAGTTATTTTTTTATAACGACCTTTATTACTTTTAGACACTTTTTTGGCGTATATTATATTTGTGCTTTCGACAAGTATTTTACTTATTTATATATCTAACTTATGCTTCTATCATTATACATACATACATATATATATATATATATATATATATATATATATATATATATATAAAATACAATTTCACGAAGAAATTCAATCAAATTTCGCAACGATTACAAGAATTTAAATTATTTCAAGGTGAGTCAAAAGGAAACTAAGTCGACAATAGTGAACAATCAACTTATTCGGCGTCAAAGTCTCGCGGAACAACTCTCATCTAGCAGAAAGGGATCGATAAATCTATTGAATTATTAGCAGATGCCACATATAGAATATGTATTACAAAATATAATATATATATATATATATATATATATATATATGGGGGTGTGTGTATGTATGTAAAAGACAATAGGAAAACTGTAGTTTTAGCCGACGCGTCTCATCCGATTGTTTGACGATCGCTAAAGCGTGAAACCCAGGGTCACAAATTCACATCTATCCAACCAAATGTATATATATATATATATATATATATATATATATATATATATATATATATATATATACAGAGGTAATTTTCAGTACCGTCAAAAGACAGCGTTTCAGCCATGCTAGGTCATTCAAAGTTTGGAGATTATCGACACAGAAAATATATATATATATATATATATATATATATATATATATATATATATATATATACCAAAGTATATAATTGGTATATACGGAATGAATTCCAATAACCAACAATTACTATTCTTAAAAGAGTGCTCAATACAAAGTAGAGCAGATATAATTATTTTTTATAAAAAATTATAACATAAGTATGTTATAAGATCACTACAAAAATAGCCATTTTGTTTCAACACATTCTGTGTCTTCTCAAGTGATGATGTTGAAAAGAAAATAAATGGTTTTAAAAAGTTTCAGATTAATTAACGATCCTACACTAGGGGGAGCATTGTTACAAAAGCTAGAATAACCAATCAAAAACGAAGTATAGAAAGATTCAAAAGCTTGACAACGAAATCCTGCTATAATAGCTATTCAGATCTTTAAATACGTGTAATATTAAAAATAATTTATACTAACTAATAATTATAAAATTATATGATAAAATTTAATATTAAAATTAAAAACTGGTAATTTTAAAATCCAAATTTAATCACTATTAAGTTTAAAAACTACAAAATTATTGAGAAAAGAAAAAATATATATGTTTATTCAATTCATTTCTTCATTGAAATTACGTTCGACAAGGACGCTACAATATATCCGGTCATTTGATAATACATGTATATATATTTTTATTGGATTAAAGTAAACATATTATTTATTTAATTCAGTCTATTTCTTTCTCTCTCAGTATCTTCATTTCTCCTTCTCTCTTTGTCTCGCTGTGTCTATTTTTATCTGTCTCTAATCTCTGTATTCATTATCATGTAAGTAGCAATAAAATACAATGACAAAACTACAGATTAAACTCTTAAAATAGTCAAAACACCTGATGCAAAATGCACTTGTAGAAAGTAGAAAACTTTATCTAAGTCCATAGATAGATAGATAGATAGATAGATAGATAGATAGATAGATAGATAAACAAAGAGACGGACTCAGATATACATGACCAAATTGACATAGATAGATAGATAGATAAACAGACAGACCCAGATAAATATTTATAAACAAATTGACATAGATAGATAGATAGATAGATAGATAGATAGATAGATAGATAAAGAAACAAACGGACCCAGATAGATAGATATGAACAAATTAATATAGATAGATAGATAGATAGATAGATAGATAGATAGATACTATGCTTAGATAAATTCAATATCTATTAAATAAGAACTTTCTACGTTCTTAGAAAGCATAGAAGCGCGCGATCTGACCCATATTTCAAAGTTAGTATTTTTATGACCAAATATCAGAATACTGATTTTGGGAACTGTCTCACGAGAAGGGCATTAATGTAATTTATGTCTTTTAGAAAAATTCATATAGATAAATCTAATTTGTTTTAAAAAAAAAATAGCGATTAACGATTGCATGCGTACTTCGAAATAAATACCTCCTCAAACATGTTGACACAGATCAATATAATTTGTTCCCATTCGGACTCCACATATAGTATTGTTAATGTTACTACTATTATTATTATTATTAATAAAACCTATCATTAATACTACTATAATCTATCATTATTATTATTATTATTATTATTATTATTTTATCACTCCTTACCTTTTGTTTTTATTATCGATATCGCCTTTAAGTGGTTTACCTCAAGCAAAAATGGGTTATCCCCCTTGATACATAACGTCTTTAACTACCAGCGTTCTGCGCTCTTTAAATTTAAAATTGGAAGTTTAATTTTTAATTTTAAGGGTAAATTTCAACCCAAATTTAAATTATAGCACAATTAAATATTTAATAATAGTAGTAATTTATGCAACAAACACCGCAAAACCCAGAAATTTTAACCAGATAATGACCAGTTCTTTTATGCCTGATGATTGCATAGGGCATGAAACTCCGTGTTTTACTGTCGGCGTGGGATATGTATTTATTCATATATACTTAATAGACCTGTTATTTTTCATTAAGCAGTGTTTTATGAACCACAAATAAAAATATATATATATATATATATATATATATATATATATGTGTGTGTGTGTGTGTGTGTGTGTGTGTCTCTGTGTGTGTGTATGTGTGTGTGAACACTTGCACGTACATTTATTCATATTTATTTTTTATTTTTATATATATATATATATATATATATATATATATATATATATATATATATATATATATATTCAGCAAAATATCTCACAAAGGAGATTCTTTAGTGTGGAAAACAAGCGCCATGCTTAAAACATGAGAAAATGGTAAAATAATCTAGTTCCTTCGACTTTGCCTTCGGTATGTCACAGGAGTCAGGACGAACAATCACTGAGATGCTGTCTGATTAAAAAGGTCCCTTTAACTATGCATGGCAAGATCTGTAGACCCTTGTCCACGAGTGATTAAGGATCTTTGACTTTTTTTTTATTCTGATAAAAGAATAATATAAACATAATAGTAAGTATTTAGGCATGAGGTCGTTCTAGGAGATTGTAGAGGCAATAAACATGGAAGCTTCAATTATACACTTTGCCTTTAAAGATACTGTAAATGCATTAATATTATTCAAGTTGAAAATTACTTCTGGCATTCTATTTATTGTTTTGTGTCTTTTTTCTCACGTTACTTGAAAGTGTTGGAGAAATATTAATGGCTGTGTATCTATCCTGAGTCTGGGAGATTTAGTGAATGATTTCTGGGCCAACATGTATCGAGGCCTTTCCTCACAGCAATATTCCCACTGCTATAAAAGTCTTGGTCTTCAAATTGTTCAAGTATAATCGGAAAATGAATGTGTGATGTGAATACACATGAGGATGGCAAGAAGTAAAAAAGAAAAGATACAAATGACAAAAGAGGAAGGGCAAATAATACGAAAGAAAATATATGGAAACGAGGAAAAAAAGATGGAAAAGTAAAGAAAGAAGTTTAAAGAGAAAGAAAGACAAAAGAAAGAAAGAAGAAAGAAAAAAGAAAGATTTTTAAAGATAAGGATGGAAAGAAAGAAAGCAAGAAAGAAGAAAAGAAAGAAAAAAGAAAGAGCTGTCAAGATAAAGAAAGAAAGCAAGAAAAAGGAAAGAACTGTCAAAAGAAAGGAAGGAAGAAAGGACGGAAGAAAGAAAGGAAGAAAGTATGAAAAAAGAAAGAAAGAAAAAAGAAAGATCTGTCAAGATAAGGAAAGAAAGTAAGAAAAAAGAAAGAACTGTCAAAAGAAAGAAAGAAAGGAAGGAAGGAAGAAAGAAATATCTGTAAAGATAAATAAAGAAAGGAAAATAAAAGGAGTTTTAAAGACAAAGAAAGAAAGAAAGAGAATTAATTATATGGATAGATAGAAAGAAAGAAAGCTATTATAAAAGAAAGTGCTCACAAGATAAGGATAGAAAAAGAAAGAAAAAGAATAGAACAGTAGTAAAGAGAAAGAAAAAAAAGAAAGAAAGAAAGAAAAAAGAAGGAAAAAAGAAAGAGCTGTCAAAAAAAAGAAAGAAAGAATGAAAGAAATATCCGTAAAGATATAGAAAGAAAGGAAAATAGAAGGAGTTTTAAAGGCAAAGGAAGAAAGAAAGAAAAAAGAGAGAAAGAAAGAAAGAAAGAAAGAAAGAAAGAAAGAGAATTATATGGATAGATAGAAAAAAAGAAAGAAAGCTATTATAAAAGAAAGTGCTCACAAGATAAGGATAGAAAAGAAATAAAGAAAGAGCAATCAAGATAAAAATATAAATAAGAAAGAAAGAACAGTAAAGAGAAAGAAAGCGTTTTGAAGATAAGGATGGAAAGAAAGAAAGAAAGAAAGAAAGAAAGAAAGAAAGAAAGATAAGAACATAAATAAAGAAAGATATTTTAAAAGAAAGAAAGAGCTCACAAGATAAGGATAGAAAAAAGAAAGAAAGAAAAAGAAAACAACAGCAGTAAAGAGAAAGAAAGAAAGAAAGAAAGAAAGAAAGAAAGAAAGAAAGAATCTTATACGTAGTTTATTACTTGGATGTGCGCTGTCACGTGATCTACGACGGCGGATTTAGGTGAGCGAGAGATTATGATTATGATTATCAATGAACCCAATTTTAACATTTTTCTTTAATAATGATAATCGAAGTTACTTCTAGCAATAAAAGACGGGAAGTCGTGGAGCACCCTGATCGTTCATGCTCTGAAGTGATAAAAGAATTGTCTTAATATTCTTATCATTTTGGGATATTTTTTTTCTTTCATCTTTGTTTTTGTCAGAGAGTAGGACGTGAAAGGTAAGATGCTTAATGTTCTTGTCAATCACAATTCAAACAGCGTGAGGTGAGAAAGAAAGGAATCGCCTTCGGAAAGATTTGAACCCCCCTCCCATGATTTGAGATCATATTTGACATAAATATGGGATTAACAACGTATAGAATCTCGCAAGTTCTATTCCAGAGATTATTGGTGGCTCTGCAATAGTGTGCTGAACAACAGTAAGTCTTCAATCAATTCGAAGTTATGATATCTACAGCAGATAAGATTGACTGCTTTGCTCGGAAATGCTCTTCCAACTAAACACTCGACTGATGTGGAGTACCCACACTTGATCCCCACCCTAAAACTGAGGCTCCACTGAATGATATGCGCATAACCCCAACACTGGTTCCGGGCATTATGTGTAAATTAGACTCCTATAAGGCAAGTGGAGGTGACGGGATCCCAGTCGTCGTCCTAAAGAAATGTTCTCTCGAGCTGGCTGCAGTTCTCTCCAAACTCTACAACTATTGCCGCGCTGCTTCCTGCTTTCAAGCTTGTTGGAAATCTCTGCAGTTCCTGTTTTTAAGAACTTTGGAGAAATGTCTGACTCCTCTAACTATCGCTTATTATTCTCCTACCGCTTTTCGGTAAAGTATTCGAGATTTTAATCAATGTGTTTAAGCATCTTAACTCTCACGTACTCTCTGACAAACAATATGGCTTCCATTTTGCCTAGTCTACCTTTAACCTGCTTACGTCTATCACTGAATACGTATATCAGGCTCTTGATAATAACGGCGAAGTTCGAGATATGGCTCTAGATATCTCAAAGGCGTTTGACAGGGGTTGGTAGGCTGGTCTTCTACGTAAGCGTCAGGGCTACGGTATTACAGAACTATTGTCTGATTTAATCCAATCATTCCTATCAAATCGTGAAATGTAGGTCGTTCTGAACGGGCTCGATTTCAGACACTTTCACACGCACGCGGATAGCCTCCAAGTCTCCTACGCTGTTTCTGATCTTCACCAATGATCTTCCTGATGTCATCAGTTCCCAAGTAAGGAATTATGCAGAAGATACTACCATTTACTCCTGTCTCAATAGCAAATCCGTCAGAGCTGACAAAGTTAACCTTGTCGCTTCTCTTGAAAATGACCTCCAATCAGTAATTAACTGCGTCAGGAAATGGCTTGTAAATTTTAATGTCTCCAACACTAAACTGCTCTCATTTAAGCACCATACAAAAGTTCCCTGTCCGCCATCAGCATGGCTGATGCTAAACTTCTGGAGAGCTTCACACAGCGCCTTCTTGGCCTCACGTTTTCAACTTACTTGAAGTGGAACAACTGCATTGAATCAATAGCTGCATCTACTGCAAGGAAAGTTGGTTCATTGTGTCGTGCCAGAAGGTTTTTATCGTCAGAGCACATTTACAAATCTACCATTCGGTTGTGCATTGTATACTGTTGCAATATCTGGTCTGGTACTCCTGCTATTCCTCTAGAGGTTCTTGACAAAATCCAGAGAAGGATCTGCAATGTAATCGATCCTGACTTGGTATCAGGAATTCAGTCACTTTCTCACCGACGTGACGTGGCTTCCCTTTTTTTACAAATATTTTCCTGGCCACTGCTCCGACGAGCTTTTTTCCCAGTACACGGACTACATGAATTTAAGCGTGCTACTAGAACTATGATCCTGAATATTTTTTAAAATCAGTTCACCCCAAGATAGGCGATAATGCCACTAAGACGCAATGGGTTACTCGGAATGAAAGACAATGCGAAGACTTTAGAAGGAACCGAAACCCAATTCTAAACAGGAAACAAGGTATAAATATCTAGTCCTGTTCAAAAGACAAGGACGGAATGTGCACCGGACAATATTGAAATGAAAGCAGTGATGACACAGATTGAACACTTCAAATACGTTAGTGCACGATGATTTTCTGAGCTTAATTTAGATGTGGCACAAGGCCAACATTATGGAGCATACCGATAGGATCGAACTCACTACTCAGTTGTAATTCATCTAGCGAAACAAGCTTGATAGCCATTACACCATGTTGACGTGGCCAAATGATTTTCTGGGAGTAGCTTGTATATGGTACAAGGCCGAAAGTATGGGGCCCCAAGTGTGGAGCAAACTCACTATTCAGTCGCAATTGTTTTAGCTTGTTAACCATTACACCACGTCAAAGTGCCCCCAAATGCACTGTATTGTTGTTTTCTAAGAGTAGCTTAGATGTGGCACAAGGCCGAATGTATAGGACACCCAGTGAGGATCGAACTCAGTCGTAATTGATCAAGTGAGACATGCTTGCTAAGCTTTACACCACGTCAAAGTACCCAATACATCAGCGTATGAATCAGTTATAAGAAATTTAGTATAAGAGATAAGGAAACTGAACATCGAATAATCTGTACTAGGAGTAGTTTCTCTCAACACTGCAAGCTGCTACAGAACCAAAACATTAACTCAAAAAATCAAGTCATGTTCTTAAATAGTCTCGGCAGATTGGTACTTTCATAGGAATGTCTTGCATGGCGCCAAACCAGTTCATCTAAACGGTCAACTATATACAGCCGCTTTCTGAAACTGATGGTTAACAATGGCTTCGAAGCGTGTAGAACTTAGAGAGGATCACCCTTCTTTGAATCCCGTGGACCAGTGGTGTAGAATAAGAAAAAAAGAACTGTGTCAAATAACAGAAATCACATTACTTGAGGACTTTCAGCAACAGCAACAACTTGAATGCATAGCACATAAAACTCGACGAGAGAATAATGACATTCTAACATTCCATACAACTTCAAACAAAAGGTTAGGAAGGAAATCCCCGCCATACTAGAAAGTGCAATAACAACCACTCGACTTGAAAAATCTGTTTTCCTGAAAAACTGTGTTCCTGTTTCATATTCTTTCTTTCTATCTATCTATCTATCTATCTATCTATCTATCTATCTATCTCCTCATATCTTTTCTACCTTTCATTACGTGTTCACATCCTTATTTTCCTTTCTTTTTTCTTTCTTTCTTTCTTTCTTTCTTTCTTTCTGTCATATTCTGTCTGTCTATCTATCTATCTATCTATCTATCTATCTATCTATCTATCTATCTCCTCATATATTTCCTTCTTTTCATTCGGTCGTTACTGAGCTATTTTCATTTCTTTCTTCTTTTCTTCTTTCTTTCTTTCTTTCTTTCTTTCTTTCTTTCTTTCTTTCTTTCTTTCTTTCTTTCACGGTTTATCTATCTATCTATCTATCTATCTATCTATCTATCTATCTATCTATCATGACCTGTTCATTATCTATCTATCTATCTATCTATCTATCTATCTATCTATCTATCTTTTTTCATATGTTTGCCATTCTTTCTCTTTCTATCTATCTATATGCATCTAATCATTCGTTTTTCTTTGTCTGACGTTCTTTTATTCCCCCCCACCATCTATTTGCCTTTGTTATTTTCTTTATTCCTCGCCCTGTTCTTGGCTTTTCTTTCTTTCTTTTGTCATTTTCTGCTTTGGTTTCATGAGCGCATTCTTTCCTTCATTACTTTCTTTCTTTCTCCATTCCGATGTCTCCGTTTCTCGTTGCCTAGCGTTTGTGTTAATGTTCTCGACCAGATGGCGCGATAAACGCGTTTCCAAATACAAAAATGAATCGCTGTCCCAGCACACGTCACTCGTCGGCCAGAGACAATCGTATCAATTCTCTCATCTTTCATCCATAAAGAAATAAACGGAAAGAGGTAGCACAATATATGCAAATGTGGCCGACGTGATAGAGGTGAGAAATAGATGTTTACATTCACATTAATGTGTCAATTCATTCTGAAAGATTCACAAAGCCCAATATGATGAAAAAGTGCCCCAAACATAATAAAACATAGTTTTATCGTCAAAGCCTTAATTTAAATCGGTGGAGCATTGGATAGCGGCTCGGATTGAGGAATCGGGGAACCGAGTTCGAATTCCATTCTAATCCATTACATTCGCATACGTGCTAATACCATTGGGAAAGGTATGAATCTTCTTCTTCTCCCCCGCCTAGCTATGGGTAGATAGCAGGACAGACTGGGTTCTATAGCTTTGTATGGCCTAGGAGAAGGAAAAAAAAAAACTCTGAATTCAAAACCGGTCTGGAGCGGGTTGGGCTCCGTCAGGCTTTCTTGCCCAAGAAACAACTTCTACTGCTGCAGCAGAACCCATAGTACTTCTACGGGTCACGGGAAAAATTTGGAATTACGCTTAAAAATTTCGTTTTTCTGATGTAAAAGGGGTGGGGGGCATAAATTTAACATCAGAAATTTGAGTGTCTTTTTGCTTTGAAAAACATATTGATTTTGAAATTCTTGCAAAAATCAGATAATTCTTGGATTTTAATGAAACATTCAGGATTTATTCACAAATGAATAATTTTTTTTTTTTTTTAGAAAATCATGGTAAAAAAAAGTTTTTTTCATCTATCATCTTATATATTTTTATGAAATTTCGAGAAATTCTATTTTTGTAGTTCTTAATGTTTATATTAGTTATATAAACAAATTTTACGAGAATTTAAATCATCAAATTTTTGTGGGGGTCAAATAAGATCCCCTGTTAGAAAAATTCTGCTCTGAACCGTAAAATAAAAAATACAATAAAGCCTAGAGATTATTTAATTAGAACTGATTTTAATTGCTTTTATATATGAAATATATTATGGATACAATTGATTTAATAAAAAAAATGTCAAAGGATAATGAATTTTTACAAGAAGTGTTTTGATTTAAAAACAACTAATTATAAAAATTTATAAAGTTTTCAATTTTTTAAAATTCTCTATTTATTTGTATCGGTCAAGTGATATTGTTATTAAATAAAATCTATATTTACCAATCATAAATGGAAACGCTTACTACAATTCAGTGACCCCCTTGTATTTTAAAAATAATTTTTTATTTTTATTTTTACGTACATAAACGTATTTGTAAATACAGACATCCATACACGACATTGTCAAAAATTAAAACTACAGTAAATTTAAAATTTATTGGTAACTTTCTAGTATTCCCTCAACAAACGTCTTCGTAAGATTATAAAGCCAAATTACCTGAAAGTACCTAAAGTGTAATAAAATATTTATAATGATTTAACATTTTTAAGATTACTGGGTTATTAAAAAATATCTGAAAAAGGCGTTCACGCTTTATTCGTCATTTAATTGCTCAGCAACCTCGATATATTCGGGAAAGATATCAGAATAATCAAGAATCTATACTGGCAGCAAACAGCATGTATACGCATAGGGACCGAGTTCATTGAATATACAAAAATAGAAAGGGTAGTAAGGCAATAATAGGACTTCTTACCCGACTGGATCAACCTATACAGCGAGGTAATCCAGAGAGAATGGAAACCCTACCGGGGTTTACTAGCATTAGCGGTCAAAACGACATAAGATACGCAGATGATACAGTACTGATAGCAGACAATGAAATGAAATTACAAAATCTTCTACAGAAGGTAGCGACGGAGAGTGAGAAGAAAGGACTAAGCATAAGCAAGAAGACTGTGTGCATGGTCGTCAGTAAGCGGATGAGCCCGAAATGCGATCTGAAGTTGGGGAACATTAAAATCAAGCAGACGCGGAAATTTAAATACCTGGGAAGCGTCTTGACAGAGGATGGTAAGTGCGACACTGAGATCCGTAGACGTATATTGGGATGACCAAAGACACATTCCAAAAGCTGGACAGAGTATTGCGAGACAGGGGGATTTCTTTGGTAACAAAGAAAAGAATACTGAGCTGTTACGTGACATCTATCCTTCTTTATGGCAGCGAATGTTGGATGATTTCTTCGAAGATGAAGAAGAGACTTGAGGCGACAGACATGTGGTTCTACAGAAGGATGCTAAGGATATCATAGACCGAGCGTGTGAGCAACGATGGAATCTTAGAGAGATTGCAAAAAAGGAGGAGGCTTATACTTAACATCAGGAAGAGGCAGCTGAAGTTTCTGGGAAACATAATGAGGAAGGAGGGCCTGAAGAATCTGATACTCACGTGTCGAATAGAAGGAAAGAGAGACAAGGGAAAACAATGCATTGCATACCAGGCGGACTTAAGCAAGTGAATGATAGGAAGCGGTCAGGGGGAGGTGGAAGAAGGTATAAGCTTGTTGAGAGCTGCAAGCTATAGTGTGTGGTGGAGAGCCATGACCGCCTACGTCCTGAAAGAACATAGTACATAAAAAGAAAGAAAAGAATTTCCCTACAAGTATTCCCCCCCTTATCTACATCTAACACTCTTCAGCTTTTCGATGCATGCGTCAACGCCTCATAAAAACCATCCACCTTCGTGTTAAAAAATGCTTTTCTGCGATATTTTAAACTGAAAGTAAATAATATTCTGTTTTAATTTAAATTAATTAATCTTTAAATCAGTTAATCTTTCTCAAATAAAAAGTATATTTTATACTTGAATTTTTTTTTAATAAAGAGAATTATGTGGTGTTGACAGATTTCTCAATACAGTCGATTTATCTGTCTACATCTCTGAGATGAGGTATTATGGTCACTTGCATTATTTACATTATTCGGACTGTTATCCGCATCTTCATTGCCATATTCACAACGTTTCGGTGACTCTACGCCCCGGCCTTCGTCAGGTGATTGGAATTGCGAACCGAATCCTTTATTTCGTCCACCGGGGTGGATTGTTCTAGTTCCACGTGCCATGCCTCTTCCGGATGTCTCAGTTATTTCCCTTTAAGTTAACTCTCTAAGTTTTCGTTCACCACTTCTGTAGCTTGGTATTGAACTCGCAACATTTTGGTTTTAGTCACTAGATCTAACCAACACCTTTATTCACTGGGCCATGTGTCCTAAAGAAAGCCGTCGCGTAAAACGGCCGAGACGTTGTGAAAATGGCAATGAAGACAAGGATAACAGTACGAATAATGTAAATAATGCAAATAGCCGATTTAAGCGATTTACAAAAAATAATTCCAATCAATTTAAATTCTATTTGAAATGCAGCAAAGTATTTTGATTACTGGAAATATTAAATTTAATCTATCAGCTTGCAATTACAACTAAAATAAAAGCTTCAAGGAAGATTTTTCATATTTAAAATGCAAAGCTGATTTAAACCAAAGCTGATTTTAGGTTCTTTTTTCTTTGGGGTACCAACATAAAATGATATTGTTAAAAGTTTGCTATATGTATGGAGGAAGTGTTTTCAATATTGTGAATAGAATACTTGTAAATATAAGCTGTATGGACATAGAAATCAGCACTGTATAGAATTGATTTTATTATAATATTTATTTTGATTTCATTTTATATATTCCTTAAGACCTAAATATTAAGATAAATTATAATTTGAATTATAAGTATTCATTATTTTCATCACATATGTACGATTCCTTTTTCTTAGCACAAGTTTATTTTATTTCCTACGTCGAATCAGGCTATTTTACGTTTATTATTTTTCTATTCAAACCTCACTGAATTATTCAGAGTTATTCATTTTATTCACAATTTCTAATGTTATTAATCGTTTCAAAATATTTCAAATTAACCATAGTGTTTCTATGGCATGCGCAGAAGCCATGTTTTCTGAACTTTTTCATTTGCTGTGATTATGTCCTTATTGAACGAAGCGTTACCAACAAAATAAAAAATGATGCAGCCGACTTGTATTTCCTCGATATATATATATATATATATATATATATATATATATATATATATATATATATACTAGCTCGCGAAAAATCGAAAAATAATTAATTCGGTCGAAAACTGTGAGGATAAAAACGAAAATTTGTAAACAGTCCCTATTACTGCTGATAATGCAAGACTCCCCAAGATATAAAATGTTTGAAACTCTGACTTTATGCAACCAAAGTCTCTACCAATATGGTTTTGCCGCTCTATAAGTCTTTCTGCTTTTAACTTACTGCCTGACGAAACTAAGTTTGCTGCCTGACGAAAGTTTTTTTTTTTTTTATATTTGTGTCTAAGACATTGGTGTTTTGCCGAGCGCTTTCGGTTTTCCACTGTCATCATAGTTGTAGGTTTTGGTTTGAAGTAGGTTGTATATTATTTTATTTTATAGATAATATTTTGGGTATTTAGGCAGTGTTGTTGGATTATTTCATTAGCATTTGGAAGGGGTGGTGGTATTTATTATTTAGACGATTAGTTATTAAATATGTTTAAGATGTTTCTGCCAGGGTTAAATGCTATTTTTATTTATGTTCGGTTTTTGGTTTTTAATTATGATGGCTTTAAGAATTTATAACAACACATACCTCAATAATGACATGCTGCCAATATATATATATATATATATATATATATGTGTGTGTGTGTGTGTGTGTGTGTGTGTGTGTGTGTGTACAGTAGAATCCCTGACAACCGGACTAAGAAGGCCTTCCAGGTATGAGGAATTGGTTACAAAGTCCGGATATGAGGGGTTATATTTAGATTAAAATAAAAGAACTGAAATCAGGTTTAACATTTATTTTCAATATTTTATAGTAAACAAAATAATCTAATGGTGAGTGAAATAGAACGGAAAAAGAAATAAATTATGTAATGTTAATGAAAATTCATTAAATTAAGTATGCCACGTATGCAAAACAAATAATGTAACAAAGATTTTTTAATCGCTGTTTCATGATGATTCTTTCTCTTCTAATGTCATTCTCAAC